TGAAAACAGTCGTCGTGTTTAATTGTATTAAGTAATAATTTCGCTCGAAGTGAATGGTGTCAATTTGAAATGACACTAGCTCAGAAACATGTTTTAAATCGAGCTATGGAACCTTTAAGTGTAGTTTTATTAGAAGATATAGACAGTGAAAATATGAGCAATTCACTTCATGCTTTATTAAAGACAACTACTTATATAACTTGGTATAATGATATAGAATATATTCACTTGTTTTGGGATCGACTGAAGAATTCCCTTATATAATATACTTATATAGCCTTATTTTATATAACAATAGATAACTGAAGATAACTTATATAATATATTTGTTATAGCCTTATGTTATATAACAATAGATAACTGAAGATAACTTATATAATATATTTGTTATAGCCTTATTTTATATAACAATAGATAACTGAAGATAACTTATATAATATATTTGTTATAGCCTTATTTTATATAACAATAGATAACTGAAGATAACTTATATAATATATTTGTTATAACCTTATGTTATATAACAATAGATAACTGAAGATAACTTATATAATATATTTGTTATAACCTTATGTTATATAACCATAGATAACTGAAGATAAGTTATATAATATATTTGTTATAACCTTATGTTATATAACCATAGATAACTGAAGATAACTTATATAATATATTTGTTTTAACCTTATGTTATATAACAATAGATAACTGAGGATAACTTATATAATATATTTGTTATAACCTTATGTTATATAACAATAGATAACTGAAGATAACTTATATAATATATTTGTTATAACCTTATGTTATATAACAATAGATAACTGAAGATAACTTATATAATATATTTGTTATAACCTTATGTTATATAACCATAGATAACTGAAGATAACTTATATAATATATTTGTTATAACCTTATGTTATATAACAATAGATAACTGAGGATAACTTATATAATATATTTGTTATAACCTTATGTTATATAACAATAGATAACTGAAGATAACTTATATAATATATTTGTTATAACCTTATGTTATATAACAATAGATAACTGAAGATAACTTATATAATATATTTGTTATAACCTTATGTTATATAACCATAGATAACTGAAGATAACTTATATAATATATTTGTTATAACCTTATTTCATATAACCATAGATAACTGAAGATAACTTATATAATATATTTGTTATAACCTTATGTTATATAACCATAGGTAACTGATGATAACTTATATAATATATTTGTTATAACCTTATTTTATATAACCATAGATAACTGAAGATAACTTATATAATATATTTGTTATAGCCTAANT